CCATTTACAAATGAGAAATGAATCATGAATTTTGGTCTTAAAATCACGATAGGGAAACTCCTGAACAAAATGCACTTGAAGTAAAAATGCAAAAACAACTAGAGTAAAACCTCGGGGGTGATTCAAGCTTGACTGAATCTGTTCAGTGAAGCTAAAAAAACATTACAGCAAGCATTACTGTCAGAGCCAGTAATGACTCTGACAGCCTGCAGTAATGACAGTTTTTGCCAGAGGGAATACAGTAAAATGTGAAACTGCTCACAGTAACTGCTAAAAACTAAACAGCTTAAATAAATACCTTAAATGTTTGTTTTGTTGATTGTTATCTGAAGAACCAACCATGACTTATTATAGCATCTACTTAAGCTGAGTAAGCTAATCCCTCAATAGAATAGAATAGCTGTTTATTGTCAGTGTACATATACAAATACATTGTGGTTGCACCAGGCCAAATATAAATAGTAATGCAGCAGGAATAATCAATAGATAAGAGAGAATATATACAAATAAAGAGGTATACAATACAAAGGCACATACTATGTGGGGGATAGTGTTTGTTTACAGTCTAAATAGCCTGGGGAAGAATCTGTTTGTGAGTCGGGATGTTTGGAACTTGATTAACATGAGGCGCCGTCCAGAGCGCCTGTGATGGACTTTGTTCTCCTGAGACAGGAGGATCTGGCAAAGGCCTCCATGGGTGGCAGAAGGCAACCAATGATTTTTCAGGTAGTGTTAATTCCCCCTTGTGCAGCTTACCACCCAGCCAGTAGGAGAGCACGCTCTCCACTGAGGAGAAATAGAAGACCAGTTTTAGCTACTGGTTCAAAGTTATTCTTCCTCAGGATATGGAACAAGTGCAGCCACTGCTTGACCTTCTTTACCAGGGCAATGGTGTTGTGGGTCCATGTGAGGTTGGCAGAGATGTGGGTGCCCAGAAACCTGAAGTTGGAGACAGACTTGGATGGGTGCTGTCTGACTGATTGGGGCCAGGTGGTGATGGAACTTATGATCCAGGACCAGGTGGGAGGGGCATCTGAAGGTGATGATAAGATTATGGTGTTGAACGCTAGAGCATACTCACATAGCTCTTCCTATTCTCTAGATGGCTTCGCATTCTGTGCAGGGTGATGGTGATGGCATCCTCCGTGGACTGATTTGTGCTGTAGACTGTAAACTGGTGGGCGTCGAGAGAGGGAGGAAGGAGGTTTGTGATGTGCTGAGACACTATCCACCAGAAACACTTCATGACCACATGACATGAGGAGTATGATTCTGCAGTTGAGGCTGTCTATTCCAGTCCTTTGGGGGATGGGAATGATGGTGGGGGCTTTCAGACAGGTGGAGCCAGTGCCGTGATATGTTCACAAAGTTATAAGTTAAATTGACACTGGTTGGCTGTATTGCACACAACAATGAGAATTCAAATCCACTCAAGTCAAGAAAGCTCCCAAACTGTCATATCCAGGTCACATTTATCTAATTTCACTAAAATTTGATGAGTAATTCTTGTGAACATAGAAAAGTGCCCATAAAATGAGAGTTATGACCTTGACCCCAGTTTGAGTGAAGACCTATTATGTGATAATTTTGTGAATATTTCACTAAAATATGAGCAATATTCTAGGAGTAGAGACTGTTGTGAATTGTGGAAGGACAAACACATGGCAGATGCCTCATCATAGCATAACTTTCCATGTTAATGTATTTTTAACTACACCTAAGGAGGAATATCTGGAAGACAAAAAGAACAAAACCTCAAAAACTTAGTAAAACATCTAAAAACAATAATAACCCAAACTTCTCTACTTGTAGATGTATATATTTACCTTAAATTATATTTTTTTCAGAACCTACAGTTTAACCACAGTCTGTTCCTAAAGCGTGCATGTTCAGGAAACACCCATCAGCTAAAGTTTAAATGTTGCCCTCTTTAATTTTCCAAAATTCACTCCCAACAACTTTATTATGTGTTATACTGTATATCACTAAATACAATACATCTTTTTGTTCCTCTGGGTTTTTTTTTTAAAACAGGTTGCACAAGACAAACAAAAAGAAGCAAATTAAAGTTTCAGCTTAAATCATTACTCAAACTACTTTACCTGCTCCAGGTAAAGTTTGCGCTTGGGTTGGCTTCTGTCACACACTCAAATGAGTTCTCAGAAATTGCTCTAATGTTCACTTCTGTGGGAGGGACTGCAAAAACAGAAAGAGAACAGTGTTAATTCTGAAATGGGGAAATGCTGATGGTGTCAAAGTAATATTTCACATTTGCCGGAATCCTATCATGTCACAAAAAACCACAAATTCTGTTTTTTTTTAATTTAGTTTGAAGGAGTGATCCTATGCTACACATTGAAGGTTGCCAAAGGCTCACTTACATTCACCTTGTCTGAAAAAAGGATATTAAATTTTGTGTTCTTCTCAGGGGCTTCCACCAGATACATAACACCGCACAAAACCAGAGGAACCTGTGTTCAGTTTTAAAACAAGCCTCTATTAGTTTTGCTTCATCCTCTGCCAATCCTCATGTGTACTGAATGGATCTTATGAATGTGGAGATCGGTGAAAATAATGGACTCATTGTCTGGCTTGACAAACAAGTTTGAGACAGACTTTGTCACATGGTGTTTTGTCATGCTGGAAGTAGTAGACCAGAAACATACAAAATAGGCATGGCTAAAAACAGACATCGTCAGCAGCTTTACTTTGCAGGATAGTGGTGTGCCCCTAAAATCATAAATGGTACCTTCATTTTCTGACTTTAGCTGCTGTAAGTTAATTCTGACCTGAACATATACATGCAACTGAAAAATTATTAAATGATGAATATTGGTAAGTTGATACCTGCGCTCATGTGAACAAAACTCATTTGAGGCAGCTGAAATATCTAGACAGTACAAATTGACTGGTAAAGAGCATTTGATACTGCCTTACGGGGCTTTTCCTGCTTCAGTTCAACTTCTTTTTTTCAGTTCAATCTATGGCTGTGTATATCTGTATATCGTTTTAATATACATTTGGTCAAATAAAAAATAAATCTTTATTAAAAATGACACAAAAGACAAATAATAAACTCTATTAACAGCTGATACTCACAGTAGACCTGTATGCTGAAGGGCAGGGTTTCTTCTTTAGACATGGCGTCACTGTTGATGACACACTGGACCTGGTGACCGTTAATCTCTCTCGTAGGAACACCAAACAGAGAGCTGACTGTGGTAGTTGTATCGTTGTCATACTGTGTGGAGTTTGTTGTCGTCCTCACTTCGTCTCCCAAAGCATCAGTGAGCCACCTCACCTCTGCAGGAGGCTTCGATCCAGCAGCCGTGCAGGTAGCAAATAAAACCTCTTCTTTGCCCAAAGTGGGAAGATTGTCCTTGATGTTTGTGAAAGGAGGCACTAGGAGATGTACAGCACAGAAGTAGGTCAACATGCAAGCAGAATGGTAAAAGTAATTCTGTCTCTGCCTCACATACAAACACCCAGAATTTTGGGAATATTTTGTACATACCAATCACTATTAGAAGTATCTCAGTCTTCTGATTTCCACTGGGAAACAACGTGAAGATGCACGTGTAGCTGCCTTCATCCTTTAGAGTAACATCAGCTAATTGGAGAGTTCCATTTTTTTGATTAAAATTCCCGATATATTTAAATCGATCATCACCTCCATTAACAAACTGCACTCCCTCTCTGGGTAGGATAGTGAGGAAATTGTCATTGTGAGGTTTTTCTCTCGTCCTCCTCTGCCAGGTAATCTGTATCAGGTCATCATCGGTACCAGTGACATGGCACGGTAGGATAGCGGTACCTCCTTGAACCACTGTCACACTTCCACCAATCACCTGAAGAGCTGGAAAGTGAAATACTATTAAAGATCAGGCCAAATAAAAGTAGAAACAAAAAAAAAGAGTCTCTAAGAAGACTAAACCAAATTTTTCTTTCTTTGTGTGTGCTTGATTTCTTCACTAAATCTTGAACTTATGTTTGGTAGTTCTTTTCAGACAAATACAGCGTTTTCTTCCCATAATAAAAATTTTGCCTTCAACTAAAGGATAAATCCCTAGGATAGTGATAATGTTCTTAGAGCAGGGCGATATGACCAAAAATATTTATCATGATAAACATCTGAAAATGTGCGATAACGATATCAACTCAACTCCACAACTTTATTAGTGCAAAAAAAACTATCAATGTATATTCACCTAAACAAGCAGCTGTTTTTTATGTGCATTAAAGCTATGTAAAAATTTAACAGTGCAAATGCAAATTCCTTGCTGACAGTTTAACCAAAAAGCATTTCCAGTGGACATTGGCCAACATATCCTCAGCATAACCATGTATAATATCCACAACGCTTAAAAGAGGTTATACACACACAATGCGGTAACATTACGTTGACGCACAGTACGTATCACTCCGCGAGGCTCCTGCCTACGGTAGCCGTAATGCTCCGACACTCCATCAAGCGGTGCGGGTTCGTAGCTTAGCAAAGTCGTACTAAAACATTTTTGACATATTTTCGAGCACCGTGTAC